TACCAAAGCAGATCCAGGAAAGGGCACAGAGGTCCGGGCCCCCAGGGCGCACCCCCTCCAGGCCAAAGCCCAAACAAAGAACATGTCAAGTCTTGAATACTTTGTTGGGCAGAGTCGGTATAGGGAGGACGGGTTGAGAAAAGAGCGACAGTTAATTGAAAGCATCTCCTCTTTGTAACTTCGTCAAACTATAGCCTCTCGATTTGCTTGTGTAACTCGGCCCCACGCTGCAGCGTCTCCAGAGACTGAYGAGTGGAAAGAGAATTTTACTTTTATGGATCAGTAACGCCACAGTTTTTTGATCTTTAAGCTTTGGATTTCACTGCTCTTAAAGCCAAAGCCCTTTTTATTTTTACTTCMATAACAACCTCGCCTGGCCTCCAGTATGAGAACTAATTGTTCTATCGTGTCAAATGAGTGTTATTGCTATTATCACTGAATCACGATTCCCTTTTATCCACCTTGTGCTTTGTTGGGGAAGACAAACGCCTCTTTTACTGGTGTTTTGTCATGATTGGTTCAGACCTACTGATCTTGGCTGCCGTCCTCGGAGCTGAATAGGATTTGGTGTAATCCCACAGAGCAGCGCAGAGCAGATGGACACATAGGTAAGATCACAGTGGTGGAAGAGCTATAATTGGCCTGGCCCTCTGCCTGCAAGCCTTTTCTACTTGAAGTAGTTTCAATTTTTGATGATCTAATCAGAAGTCGAGACTATCTTTGACTCGATCAGGAAGATGATCAATGCTATGAAGCTGCCGAAGTTAGGGTGAGATTTTGGATGAGTTTCAGCGGCTGCACACACACTTGCTGCGTGCTGTAATCCTACAGAACAGATGGACAGTCAGGTCAGGCCACCGGAGCACAAATTGGTCCATCTCATCGATCATTTCTGGACTTTATCATCGAATTAAAAAGTAAAGAAGGCCATTATGAGATGCGCTGTAGTAGAACTGAGCAGATGGCTGTCTCACAGCCATCACTTTTCCTGACATACATTTTTATTTGCAAMGAATAAAAGCCACGAATCATGGCAGTGGTGATCAGGGCGCAGTCTTACAGCAACAGGATGCCTGCTGCACACCTCTTTGGTCTTGTGCATCTTTTTGAACATTTTGTGCTGGAACATTTAGTCTCCTCCCTCTCTTACTTACAGATAAAAGCAGTGATGCATTTCAGTTATTAAAGGTGCACAAAAACCTTAACATCAATAATTCTAATCCTTAGAGATCAAAACTGAGCATTCATTTTATTCCTGAATTCAGCAGACAACTTTGATTTTGCCAGTTTGTTATGCAGGATTTGGAGGAGACTTTTCGATAATTCTGATGTCAGACTGCCTGATCCAATGACTGGTTAAAATAACAACATTTCTTTGAACTGGTCTGAAAATCTTAACTCTATACAGTATGTAAGTGGCCACCTCTTCTTTTTATCTCACAGTGTTTGGAGATGAGTGCCATAGTGTTAGTTTGAAATGAATAAACCCTGAATTGCATAAATTTAATTTTGTCATCGCAGTAAATCAAGCACAGAGTTAGGAAAAAGAGCTGTTTCAGCTGTGACAGTGTTTGTTGTTTTTGAAAAGGAACAAGTAAAGAGGATTTCACCACAAATGCTCACTATGACCAGTGAATGTCAGGATAAATCTAAAAATCCTAGTTGGAGAACCTCTGAAAGTGAAGAACAAACAGATCAATAATCTATTAAACTGCCTTCTCGTGCTTTCCACGTGGATGGATGCACTTCTAGATTAATTCCTTCACCAGTTGCCTGAAGCTTGTTCCTTGGATTATGCTCTTCTGGACGGAGATCTCTGAGTGTGTTTCCAAGATCCGCTGGACCACTCACCTAGTTCTGTGGACCACTGGCACTACTAGGGTCTTGACTTTCCACAAGTTCTCCATTTACGCTTTCAAATTTTGATATTTCACAAGCTTTTTATGTCCCCTCTGCTTGATGTTACAGTCCTCATTTTTTACGTCTGCAATTGAAAGCTTTGGCTCCAACATTTTTCTATCACCTTGGGCAGACCAAACTTGAAAAGGGACCTCCCACCATTTAATGTTCTCTGCTTTAGTTCAGGAATGTCTTGTTTTAATCCATCAAAGAGTGCAACTGTTCTCAAATCCTCAAATCCCTTCAGAGGAACATCAAGTTTATGAAAATAAAATAAAAAAATCCGTTCCCATGCCTCATGTTTGTCTTAGATCTTCTCAACAGGTGCTTTTGATCAGGTTCTTTTAGAGGTTTCATGTTCCAGATTAGTTGGTAAAGAAGATTTGTGTCTTTGTTGCAGCAAACCCAAATCTGTGAACAGCCTTCTATTGTCAATCCAGTGTGGCCTTACTGCTGAGGATTTTAAAAAAGCAGCTTAAGACACAATTATTCCTGGCTTTTAACTGTGTTTATTGCTTGGACATTGCTATCTATGCCATTTTGTATTTTTTAATTGTCTTGACTTTTTATGTTCTTGTATATATTTTTGTTTAATACTGATTTTAAAAAGTATTTTTAAATGAATTTAGTTTTAAACTTTATTAGGAAAGTTAATTTAATTTGATAAGACATTGTCACTGACTGCCTATGTTGACACTGATGTCAGCAAAGTGACAGTAGTGAAATACATCTTGTTGTTTTTAGGTCAAATATGATATATTCAAGATAAAGGTCACTATTAGGATAATCACTTCTCTGGGAACCTCTACATCGCTGCTCATCATAATTATCATAAAGCTCAAGAGCTTAGAAATGATAACGTTACACCTGGTGTGTTATAGAGTGTTTTATTTTTATTTAAGTTTTACTTCCTTTCATCATACGGTGTCCTCAAAAAACAACATACTCCAACTTCTATAAGGACTAGAAAACCCTGCCCAGTCGATCAAATTTGGCTCACAGACTACCAGTTGGGGACCACTGCCAGCATTAAAATGTTGGCCTTTGTCTTGTCCATAAAGTTTATTCATTTATAGTTTTCACCTGCAGCGTTTTGCAACATTCCCTCTTTTTTGCGTCCCACGAGCAAAATTGCGTCAAAAACGTGCAGAAACATCTTAGTGGAAGAAGAAGAAAAAGAAGGGAAAAAAGGTAAAAGA